GGGGGGGTGTGGGAGGTGTAATGTTGTTGAGCAGTGTATTATTGTGCTTTAAGCTGCCCATACACCTTACAGCCATCGCACGACTTTCGTTATGCGATGGTTGTAAGGTCATTAAAATCTCGTACGATCTGCCCATCTTGGACAGGCACATCGTACTTGCGATCATCGCAAGCCCTCCCCGCTGAGGGGAGGGCTTCCGATGATTGCAGTGCTGAGTGGGCCCGTGCGGCATTCGTCTTCTAACCACGCCACCAACGCGACAAAAATCGTACAAATTTCGGCAGGTTTTCCAGCGTGCTTGCAAGACGAAAGTCGTACGACCTTACAGTAGAAGCGGTCGCACGCTGCCCATACACCTGCGATTATTGTACTATCGCGGAAACACCCGCGATTATCGTACGATAATCAGCAGGTGTATGGGCACCTTTAGTGTATGTGTATATTAGGCCCCATTCACACCTACAGTATATTTCAGGTGTGATTAGAGATTCCTGTGTCAGGAACTTGAGTTTTCCTGCAGCAAAAATCCCTAATCTGCCGTTTACAAGCGGCAACTATCATAAGATAAGAATTATCATAAGATTATTTAAGAGGGCGTGTTTTTAGGGGCGGAGTTAAGGCAGGGTAAGGGTTAGGTGGGGCAACTGGTGGCTGGTGACTCTTAAGGCCTGGCTAGTAGCTCAGGACTTGAAATTTTGAGCCCTGGTATATACTCGAATTGCTATGTTTATGTGGAAACATGTTTTTAAATAGTTGGCCTCTATAGTTGTCTCCAGCACCATTTTGGAGAAGCCTGGTGTCCTGATAGGACACGAAATCTCGGGAGACTTGGTCGGCCATTTTGGGGGTGGTTTGATAGATAAGGAAAGCCCAGCCACGTTTTGGGCAGAACACGTGTGGCCGTAGATAGGGACAGAGACCCAGCCTGTGAGGGAAAGTTAAGAGATTTAGGGAGAGTGTTCCGGCCTGTTAGGGATAGATCAGGGTTCCTCCAGAGTCCTGCATCGGGAATCCAAGTCGGGTGAAAGACTCTCAGTTGCCTGTGGCCGAATCAGTATCACCACTGTGGGTGCGGGAAAAGTGCATCAGACTCATTTATCCCTCCACTGAACGAATATCGATGTTGCCGGGTAACGTGTTGTAATTATTAGCTTCTACAGATAAGCACTGTGTGCTCGGGGTTATACTTGTTGCCAGTAAGTGGGAAGTGTCTATAGGGCCCCTCATCCAACCACCGGGTATAACGAATGTGACTGTATGCTATATCCGTGATCTATGTGCCTGAAGGAAAACCAATTGCCCTACTGTTGTACATATCCTTCTCTGCTTCCGCCTCTCCGGCAATAAACACTACCTTGTTTATAAGACCACTACGTGTGATTCCCTCTGTGAAGCCGCCACACCCTAACCCCGCTAACATACATATAGCAAATTATTATTGTGACTCAGAGATTGCTCAGCTGTCTGTGCTTTACTCAAATACTTACTTAAAAGCTGGACTGGATCAATCTGAAATCAAATGCAAGTAAAGCTGGCCATTCACCTATAGATTATCTGCAGATTTTCTGTGGTCAGATTGAAAAAGTGCAACAGATTCCTCCATCTACGCTAAACTGTGCGGATGGAGGAATCAACCACTGGGCCAAGCTTCAGTACCTTGCTAGTTGGCCCAGCTGGCTCTCAAAACACCTGAACAATCTGATTGGATGCAGGCATTGTTCAGTTATTTTGAGAGCTAGCAGGACCGACCAGCAAGATACTAAAGCTTGGCCCAGTGGGAGATTCCTCCATCCACACAGTTTAGCGTAGATGGAGGAATCTGTTGCACTTTTTCCATCTGACCATAGAAAATCTGCAGATAATCTATAGGTGTATGGCCAGTTTAGGACACATCTCATATGGGTTATATTCAAAGACCAGCCAGCCATGTCTGACTCTCCTACTACCTTAATATTTCTCCTAAAGTATCTACAAAGTCCTTTGGCTCCTACATTTAACAACCTTCTATTAGCTTTGGGACAAAAGGCCAAGAACATTTCTTGGTGGCCAAATAAGGGATTGTACAGGAAACTTCCCTTCAATAGAAAGAAGGTGATACTAAAAGTATACATAATACAATGAGGGGAATTTATCAAAAGTGGAGCAGCTAAAATGTGGAGCAGCTGTGCATGGCAACCAATCAGCTTCTCTCTTTCATTTTCAAATCTTAACTGAACAAACTGAAGAAAGAACCTGATTGGTTCTCATGCACAACTGCTCCAGATGTTAGCTGCTCTGCTTTTGATAAATGCCCCCCAATATATAATATATTACATACATAGATATCATACATATAAAATACAACATATATTACATTTCTACACATCCCTGTAAAATTGCAGGTTTTTGAGATGTAGAACAAAATAGACCAAGATCACTTCAGAATTTCTTCCACCTGTAATGTGACCTATTATCTGTACATTTCAATTAAAGTGACATTAAACCCTCAGATGTTTTAACATAAAACAATACCGTAATGTGTGCCTTACTGTAATCCATGGTTGTTTCCCTTCTCTTTGCTGCTCTTCCTTTTAAATCTGTATCTGTTCTCATGCTGGGCAGAACTTCTGTTTTGCAGCAGACTGCCTTGTCTCAGGAATGGATACACGGTGTCTGTGTATAGGTTTGCAACCTGAGCCAGCACTACAGGAAGAGGCACTGAGGTGCAAAGGGAAGTTCTCCCCCAGCATGAGAAGACATGAGGATTTAAAAGGAAGAGCAGCAAAGAGAAGGGAAACTACCATGGATTACAGTAAGGCACACATTACAGTATTGGTTTATGTTAAAAAATCTGAGGGTTTAATGTCACTTTAAAAAAACAAACTGAAATTGTTTAGTTGGAAAAAATAAAATAATGTGGCCGCATATATGTACATGTTACCTGGGTAGACACTTGTGAAATATGCTTCAAACAATATATGGTGGCAGTGCCCAGAAATCTGTCACTTTTGGACATGGACCTTCTCTCTTATATACAAGGTCATGGTTTTTAACATTCCGAAGGATGTTTGCATAGCTTTAAACAAACCGATCTCAGAAATTCCAAGATCCCCTCAGAGGTTATTCACTTCATCCTCCTAGCAGATAAAATGACCAATGCTAGATCTTTGAAATCTAAAACCGTGAGTGTAGATATGGCCAGGAATAAAGTCACATGTATTAAAAAGCAAGCATCGCTAATGACAACATGGAATTACAGAGTATCTGAAATCCCTAGAATAAATATCTACAAATCATAATAAGAGAACATATTGGGGGGAATTCATAAAAACTATAGCAGATAGAATCTGGAGCACTTGCCCATGGCAACCAATCAGCTTGTTTCATTTTCAAAGCTTAACCAAACAAACTGAAAAGAGAAGCTAATAGGATGTTATGGGCAACTGCTCCAGATTCTGTCTGCTCCAGTTGTTATGAATTTCCCCTATTGTCTTAAGATCAACAAAAGAGTTTCAGCTACATAGGATAGGGGGATGTGACAGATGGAGAGGAAGGAGAAACTGGGTTTGCCACCTAGCCTGTGACACACTCCACGCGAAGCAGTGCGAAGCAATGCAAAGAAGTGTGGAGCAAAGCACAGCTGCGAGGAGCTGAGCGTAGCCAGATGAAAGACTTCATCTTCAGCCAATCAGCTCAAGCGTAACAACTCAATGCATCCTGACGTGTCGGCGATTGGCTGAAGATGAAATTCTTTATCTTAGCTCGCTTAGCTATGCTAGCTCTTGCACGCTGACAGCGCCAGATTGAAAATTGCAGAAAAGAAATAGACACCGGCACTCCAATAATAAATCGATTACGTCTATTTATTGACGTACATCAAAAGCAAAATAACACACTTAGTGCGACGTTTCGGGGACACACAGGAACCCCTTCATCATTTATTTTCTGCATTACTTTGACGGTGGCCATCCGTCGACTACTGAGCACCCAGGATACTTTGTTGGACGTGCGGTCAGGAGTGCAATGGGTACATGGACTGTAATCAGATTGAAAATTGCAAGACACACCGCAGGCGAAGGTCTGCTTGCCGCCTCTTTCCCTTGCTACGTGCCACTTCGCATGCAGTGTGTCACGGGCTAGGTCGCAAACCCTTGTCTACTTTCTAGTTACCCCCCTTGTAGAGCCCAATTGAGATCCCACACAGCCCACCTAAGGGTGACCCTGCCGAGCCTACCATAGACTCTCTAAGGTGGGCTCTGCAGGGCCACCGTCAGGTGGGCTGGTCACACTCCTTACCTATCCGCCTCCTCTTCCTCCACCATTGGTGATGGGCCCGCCTCCTCCTCCCGTCGCTGGGCCCGCCTCCTCCCCCCGTCGCCAGGCCCCGCCTACTCCTCTGATGCCAACCTGGACCCCGCATCCTCCTCCACTGCCGGGCCCAGCCTGCTCCACCGCTGCTGCTGGCTCTCACGGACTCAGCAGTGGCTGTGGAGAGGAACGCACCGCTACACAGATCACTGTCAGTGACAGCCAGCAGCATGAGATGCCATAGCAACCCATGCGGCCCGCAGGGCATCAGGAATGTCCTGGCCGGGGCCCCCCTGTGCCCCGGGCACCCCTGTGCCCCGGGCCTCATAGCAGCCGCCTGGGTCGCTATGGTGATTGTTACGCCACTGGACACACTCCAAAGTACTGCAGCTGTGCTGCTAATATAGTCCGGGATTTGGAACTGCCAATCCCCCTTTCTCCCAGGGTAAAAAAAGTCTCTAATATTTAATCCTGGGGGGTATGCCCTTCCAAATACGTTCACAAAACCACATAACTGTCTTGTGAAACAATTTCTTAAATAGCCATACTGGAGTGCTATGAACAATGTATAATAGTTGGGGCAGCCATATCATTTTAATAAAGGTCCACTTGGACTATCAAATTGGGCTTATAAAGGTAACCTGTACTAAGAGAAACATGTAAGTAGCCATAACAGATGTCTGCTTCTGAAATGTTAGTTTAGCCTGGCTGAAATGCTTTCTGAGTCACTAACCAAGAACAAATATGCAGATTAGGAGTTCTGACTTTGCTCTTACTTCACTTACTTGATTCACGTTAGTGGCTCAGAAAGTACAGAAATCAACAGATCAACAAGACAACCAGACAACTAGCATTTTTAGAAAGAGATTAGCAGCGACAGCAAATGTACTTTTCTTTGCAGAGGTTTTCTGTTAAGTAAATATATATGCTATTGTGCAGGACCAGGATATCCACAACAAACAAACATGTACATATTCTGTAACATAAACATAAAAACTGTACCTATACATAGACACGTATTGTTGCTCTCTTAAGCGTTCCTTCATAGCATTCTTGCTGGTGTACAGTTTCTTCAGAAGGCTGTGCTGTCCTATTAGGTAGAGTAATTCCTGCAGAATGCAATAATTGTCTTCGCTTAGCACATCAGATTTCTGGAGATCATCAAAAAGATCTAGGCATGATCTCATTTTGTCCAGTTTTTTATTTGGAATGATACCCACACATAGAAATTTCAAAGATTCAAAATCTTCTTGACTAAGATTATTGTCAATATCATAAAGCAACTGGGAAAGATCCATCTTCGCAGACACAGAGGGCACTTATTCCAGTTAACTTTCCAATTTACCTAAGACAGAAAGAAAGTTGAATAAATACCCATAAGCCTAAGCGTAAAGGCCAAGTTGACCTAACATGTAAATTTCCACTCTAGATTAGCACTATAGGGATGAATTCTGTACCTGATTGTTACTTTCACCACAGAGCTTGCCTGGCTAGAGCTCCAATCTCTGCCCTCAGCCATAGTGATTACACTATATTTACAGGGTTATTCACAAATGGGTGAAGAGTTTGGAGAAGGCAGGAGAAGTGAACACTCTAGGACAGTGGTGGCGAACCTTGGCACTCCAGCTGTTTTGGAACTACGAGTCCCATGAGGCATTGCAAGGCTCTGACAGCCACAGACATAACTCCCAGAGGCAGATGCATGTTGGGATTTGTAGTTTTGGGACAGCTGGAGTGCCAAGGTTCCCAACAACTACGCTAGGACAACATAGCTGAACTGGAAAGTGAGCTGAGTTGGAGAATTTTTCCAAATCGGCTATTTTGGCCTAGATTGTTCAATTCTCCCGCCTTCTCCAAACTCTTCACCCTTTTGTGAATAACCCTGTTGGTTATTTTCTTTTCTTTACTGCATTCTTGATCATATAAAGTAAATTAATGAATGCAAAATCCTTTAGCAAGAACAAGACAACAGCGTATTAGTCAAACCAAACAGGGGGCTCCAAACAGGGGACTCCAGTTAGTCAAACCAAACAGGGGACTCCAGTTATCTTCTCTCTAAAGACCTTGAAAAATATGATAATCTAGTTAAAGATTTGACCTTATGACTTCCTATGTAGTAAATATACAGTACATCATGGGTTAATTGAAACTTTAAAGGAAACTTGCAATTTCATCGCTGACTTAACTGCTGTCAGTACTGCTGTGGAAAGCTAAATACCCTTCAATTCACCTTACAGTATATATATGATGTTGGTAAAGAGACCCATCCACTACATTAAAACCCCTCCACCAGGCGGAGTGTTATATCTTTTCTATTTTGCAAGGTTACGAGCTGGACAGACTTAAAAATGAAACCTGGGTTAACATATCCATTTGCGAATCCAAAGTTGCAATTGGTAAAAGCTTCTTTGTTTGGGCTACATAACCCAGGGGTTCGTAAACTTTTTAATCCAAATAAAAAAAGTGTTACCATCCTGGGACCCTGATATTTCCTTAAAAATAATATGTAGGTGACAGGTCCAATATGTTGCCCTCTATGTGATAGCAATAAAGTTGAGTGTAAAAAAAAAAGAAATAAAAAAATGAAAGTAAAAAAAAACTTCCCAAAAAATGTTTAAAGTCCCCTGCCCCCAAGTACACACGAATGTAAATACATGCATCGTGTGCATGTATGTCAGTATGAAATTGATGATTGCACCACACATGTGGGGAATATTCCCGCACATCGGAGTGACAGCAATAATTTTAGGGCTAGTCACAGTTAACTCTAAAGGGTTAAAGGAGTCTTAATTGACCACTAACACTCTAAAGGAGGAGATGGAATGGGGTCACTCTGGTTATGGACACGTCTTTTGGTTGCTTGGAAGATCTGGCAATATGTCCTTTCCTTTGTCATGACACATGTGGTAATGTTCTTTCTCGCAGTATGACACATTTAGTAATATTGTGTTTTATACATAACACATTCTGTAAAGCCGTCTCTCGTAGCATGACACATCTGATAACGCCCTCTCTCATAGCATTATCATATACAATTACTACTTACAAGTCCTCTCTTCGAGTATTAAAGCATAACTCCAGCTAAAACTTTCTGAAGTTATTAGAGTGGGTGAGGGTTAGAACTTGCTGTCAGCGACTCCACTGGGGGAGCTTTCCATCATTTTTCCTTCTGGCAGAAGCATAAGGAATAAAGGGAATGACACAATAAGACAGGATGGCACAGGCAGCAATAAAGATAGTCACTTAGCTAATGACAGGAAAGAAATAGGCGGCGGGACTACAGGGTGGACATGGGATCAAGTAGAAGGGGGTCAAGGTTTTCTTTCAAATAAGGGCACTTACCTGATTGGCCGAGTTATAGGTGGTCTAGGAGGGACTCCACAGTGGTCTGAGAGGGCAGAGATTTTTCCTGGTCAGTCAGGAGTTAGCACACAGTGAGTGAACTTCCTGCCCACCTGCCCTTTTTTTTAATTTTCTGTAATTAGTGTTTTGGTAATTTCTTGTATTGTATAGTTTGGGGGTCTGGGAGGGTAGTGTGTGGTGGTAATGTGGAGTTGTGAGGATCCATCTCCGGTCCGCAGTCCTTGTAGTGGTGGAGTCAGCAGACATGGTTACCAGTATTATGTTTAAAATGTCTCTGTAGCAATTCTGTTGTTGTCCCCGAGTGGGTGTGTTGCGGCTAGGGGCCTTGGTAATAATTGGTTATCCAGAGATGGTTTGTTTTAGGGTAACAAGGCCTTCTCAGACCTCCAGCCATATGTGTGTGTCCATGCATATATATTGGTACAGAGTGAGGTAACTGAGGATCAGTGATCGCTGAGTGTTTGTAAATAATTGAGGACATATAGCGGTTACTATATCCTCAATTATGAATGAATGGGAAGTGATCTACATCACCTCTTGTTCATTTATGATTGAGGATATAGTAAACACACTATATCCTCATGTTATAAATGAACAGGAACACTCAGTATAGAGGCTTCCTGTTCATTTATAACTGGGGATACAGAAAAAGAGGTTCTCAGTCTCTTTTTCTATTTTAAAAGGGAAATATCAGGGGCCTGTTTAGACCCCTAATATTTCCCCAAAGCATCTAAAAGTAAAGTAAAAAATAAAAATATTTAATAAAAATAAATGAATAGAAATAAAATGTAAAAACATATAAAAGTTTATAAAATAAAATATTTGAATTTTTTAAAAAAGTTAGAAATTATTTTCTTTTTTTTACATTTTAATTTCGTTTCGGTTTTAAACTTTTCATTTTGGTGCACCTTTTAATTATTATATATATGTGTGTGTGTGTGTGTGTGTGTGTGTGTGTATTTGTGTGTACATGGACACACACATAATTAGTAATTGTTGATTACAATAATTTAATGTTTATATGTATTTGTTTACATTTGACATCTTGTAATAAAGGGCTGCTACAGCCATTTTATATCCAATACTGTGTGGTCTGTTATTTGGTTATGGAAGTTAAGCGGTGAGGTGGCGTAGCTGAGTGGTGAAAGTAGGAGAACCTATGGCTTGCCCTAGTCAAGACCTGACAGTGGCTGTAACTGTCCTCATATACTAACAGAGGTGTTTTTGTTTGTATGCTATATACCAACATTTCTCAACCTCTTATCAGTCATGGCACCTCTTTCACTGCCAAGGTGTTTTTGTTTATTGCACACGTTATAATCCACATTTTAGGTCTGAAAAAGACTTAAAACCTAAGAGATATATATAATTCCTGAAAGCACGGATCCTGCAGATTAAAATGGCGATACAGTGGTACCTCGGTTCACGAACACTTATGTTCACAAACAATTCGGTTCGCGAACAGGAAGTTCGTCAAAATTTTGCCTCCGTTTGCCTCCTGTCCAAGATGGGCAGATCGTACGTTTTTAAAATTACTTTACAACCATCGCAAGACTGGTGTCTTGCGATGGTTGTAAAGTGTATGGGCACCTTTACTGTGAAGCTTTTTTGTGTGCTTTGCAGCACAGTACTGTACAGTATTACTGTATTCAATCCAGCATGGCTCCCAAGAAAGTGCAGAGCAAGCATGGTGGGAAAAAGAAAGTGCAGAGCATTAATGAAGGTGACAATAATGTGCAGAGCATTATTGAAGGTGACAAGAATGTGCAGAGCATTATTGAAGGTGACAAGAATGTGCAGAGCATTAATGAAGGTGACAAGAATGTGCAGAGCATTAATGAAGGTGACAAGAATGTGCAGAACATTAATGAAGGTGACAAGAATGTGCAGAGTATTAATGAAGGTGACAAGAATGTGCGGAGCATTCATGAAGGTGACAAGAATGTGCAGAGCGTTAATGAAGGTGACTAGGATGTGCAGAGCAAGAATGGTGGTAAAAAGAAACTTCTGGTTACATTTCTTTCATATGGTTTAGAACGGACTAACCTGATTTACATTGAACCCTATGGGAAAATGTGATACGGTTCACAACCAATTTGATTCGCGACCAGAATCGTGGAACCAATTAAGTTCGTGAACCGAGGTACCACTGTAGTTGCAAATTTTTATGATATATTTGTGCAACCCTTTATCAAACCCAAAATGTCATTAAAAATTACACTTAGGATCATTTTAGTTACCAAAAACTAAATATAATACCCATTTTTTGTAAAATATAAAAGATGTGGATATGTCGAAAAAATAAATACCCAACATGCCAAGCTGGCGACAAATTACTGTGCCCCAAATTGTCCAGAGGCAATGTTTTAAAAGCCCATACAGGTCATTATTTTAGAGTTAACTGTGATATCGGCCCTAGAATTATTGCTCTCAGTCTAGTGCACGTGGGGATACCTACCATGTGTAGCATAATCAATGTTTTTGTATGTAGGCACAGCTGCGTGTTTACGTTTCTATGCCCACGTTCGCAGGGGACTTTCAAATGTGTTTTTTTTTTTCTTCAATGTATTCGATTTTATCTTATTTTTGTAAAAACTTTTTTTTTAAACTTTATTTCATTGCTATCATATAGGGAGGCTTACAAGCCCCCTATGTGATAGCATATTAGGCTGTGACATTTACACTTAAAGGTAACATTACAGGTCTAGTGTCACCTTTCCACTACCCGCAGGAGAGCCCAGGAAGCAAGGCGGGGGATATCAGCACAGGGGGGGATGGCACGTTTTACTGGCCCATGGAAGCGTTTTGGTGGCAGCTTAGCTACCAGAACCACTTCTAGTGTAAAGCTGACCATCGGTTTCACACAGCTGAACAGAGAACCACCGGGAGTCTGTTCAGAGTGGCTATGATTTAATGCACATTAATGCATGTAACACACCAGACAAGTGTGATCTTGGGCTGAAGCAGATAGAACTC